GGGGCCGCCGATGGCGGTATAATGAATGGATCGTTCGCACCTCGCCCACGCCACACGTCTCTCTCTCCTTTGCCAAGCGCGCCACGATCGGCACGATCGCCTAGGAGGTAGTGCCCCGGCCGATAATTAATTACTCTGAGTGATCGAGGGCCGTCGATCCCACCGACTGCGGCGTCTCCGTTGGGAGTACCGTGCCAATTTGTCAGAGTAGTCACGCGCTTTTCTCCCAACTCACTGCGATCTGTCGATCAGTGAAAAGACTGTCCTGTCTTATTAATATTCTGCGAGAAACTCGTCTAAAAGGTGTCCGCGTTGCGATAGAGCAACAAGAATAGCTTTATTTTTGGGTCCTCGTCTCTTTTCAGACTTCATTTTCTGCTTTATGTGCCTATATTTCCATTCGATTTGTCTAAATAAATAGCGACGTAAACTTTCTACAAATGTCACAGTAGATGATTACGTAATAATATTCAGAACATCTGATTAATCATTCAAAAAGCGCGACGAATATATTTGAGAGATAATCTTCAGAAAATTAAAATTGTAGAAATATCTCTACGATCGCATTAAAGTTTCAACTAATGACGGCGTGAAAATTATATAAGACAGTTTACAAATAAATATTTCACTACTGATTGATTAAATGGTTTTAAATGTTAATTGACCACCGCGAGCCAAGATCGTGTATAATGTCTCTTTACAAATCGCACTCGTCCTGTTGAGGTTTTAATTCATGAGAGTTCGCGGCGCTCTTTTTCAGCGTTCCATCTTAACACTCTATCCATCCCAAAGGCGCACTTTATATTCTCTTCAAGATACATCGCGTCTTTATGTCGCCGCGATGCAAACCGCGGCGATAATGTAATCGCAGTCGACACGAGAGGAACAGTTGGCGCATTGATTACGATTGCGAAAATCATTGCATGCTGTCGCCGTCGGTTGCGAACTCGAAAGAAAATGCGAAATCAAAATAAATGTATTTTCTTACGGAATAGCGATCAGCTGTGTGACAGCTTTCCTAATTATCATTTGCCTGCAACAAAACGAATGTAATCATTATTGTATACGTAATAATACTGAAATAAAAAACGTTTGTACATTTTCCATACATTTTCTGTACTTTAAACTAATTTCTTTTTCCTTGTTGCAAATATAATACATTTCTTCGCCGCATCTGCGGTCTGACGAATGTTTACTTTCAAAGGTATTTTCATTTTTCGAACAACTTTCCTGAATCAACTTTCCTGAAAATGACGCGTTAACGCGCGTTGATCTCGTAGACCTTTTCGGCGGCGTCACGTACCGGGTGGCCCCGTACGAAGAGGGCACGCCGGCGCCGCACCTGCCAGGTCATTAGGGTATAAACGGCAGGTAGAGCGTAAGATCTCCGAGAGACTCTCTGGGAAGGAGAGACACGGATCTTTGTCCCTCTTTCGTTCCTATTTTCTTTCCCTCTCTCCCCGTCTTTGTCTCTCTCGCCTCTCGAATGAGAGGAAACGTGGTAGGGCGAGGCCGCAAGAAGTGGAGGAAAGGCCGTGACGAGGAGGGGGCGAATCGAGCGAGAAAGAGGAGAAATTCTGGTCAGTCGAGGAGAACGAAGGGGGGAGGGGGCGAGGTCGGAGAAGAAGAAGAAGAAGAAGAAGAAGAAGAAGAAGAAGAAGACGAAGAAGAAGAAGAAGAGGCAGAAAGGCGCATCAAGAGAGGACCCAGGAGGAGGTACCCGTCACGAACTGCGGGCTAATTGTCCGGGAGATTGCTCCTGCAGCCTGCTGTGCGCTGCTGTTGCTGCTGATGTTGCTGCCGTCTGTCCTGCACGTTGTTTCCTCGACCTTAAGGCAACCTCCGGGCGTCCTTAAGATCTTGATCCCGCTGAAGATCGACCGAGTCCCCGTCGGCCGCGCCGCGCACCGGGGATGGGATTATTGTTTTGCAGGGATGGATTTACGTCGGCGATTCCCGGCCTGTCCGTAATTGTAATTGATGGCGGTAGAAGCGTAATTAACCCCCGCTCGGATTCGCGATTTTCATTAGGCGAAAGGTCGCGCGTGACTACGGGAGAAGCAAGTGAAAAACTTGCGTTCCGAGTGCCGGTAATGCATACTTACAAGGAAGTACACGCAAGTCCGTCGATTTTGCCTGAGCTTTGAGTACATTGCAGTTTAGGTAAATTGTTGTATTGTTTTTATAAAAGGATAAAACATTCCCTTGAACAAAATTTATATTTCTAAACAAATGTCATTGAAACGATGAGAAATATGAAAAAGATAACTTAAACGAAAGTTTATGTCTAAGCAAATTACAATCCTACTAAAGAACTTTACAACCTAGAAAAATTTCTGCTTAAAATATATTTTCCTCTCATTATTTCGACGATAATAACTCAGAAATAGAAATATTCAACTTTAAAAAAATTTATTATTTATTCTAATTTATTTTCAAACTTCATGAAAATTAGAAGCAGCGATACATATGAGGAATTGATAAAAGATTGAAAAATACTAAGCGCATCCGCTATCAAGTTAGCATGACGCTAACAAAAATAATTTCGTTTGATTACGGAGAAATTAAAATAAACTAAAAGATCGCGACTTTTGCACTTGCAACCTTTTGTTTTCGGGTAAGAGCGAGAGTACTCGCGTGTCGCGCATATATCTTCGTCTATTCGCGCGCGACGGCGCGCTCTTGCTCTCCGTCTTGTCACCGAGTGAAACAAGGAGAAACGCGACGGCAAGAAATTTCTCTGCATCCCGTGCGAGACGTCGTGCGATCGATCGACGTCCTTTGATCTCGTGCTTCTCTCGAGATCGCTTCCTGGCGCACGACACTGTTCTATTTCTTTTTCTAGATCCCATCTTTCTTTCGCAACCGCAAATGTATCTTTCTCGATTTCCAAACGAAAAACATCGCCGAAGTGTATTGCGTTTTAAAAATTTATGCAGATGTCATTTTTCATCAAAAAAGATATTTGTATTGACATTTTTATCAGTCAAAAATAAACTTTGAATTTTTTAATCAAGAAACTTGTTATTAATTAAAAGCAAAAAGTTTGAAGCCTACTATACTAAACTCAACATTAATGTAAACCGGATATGCTTCTTTGATTGAAGAAAATACTACGTACATAATTAAGCTATTGCCTTACTTTTTATGAATACCCTAATTTATTGTGTCTTATTTGACGGAATTGCAACTTTCTCGTCGTACATAAATCTCTACTGCGAGTTTCGCAGGTGAAGAAAGTTATGACAATGCGAGAATAATTTGATCCGCACCGGTTTAACTTTTCCGTATGACTTACTGCGATTCACTGTCTTCACTGTCGCGGTTATTTTACTGCGGAATCGCATTGTGCTTGAATGTTTTGTCCATAAATTTTGTAAGCATTACGCATACCTTTCTGACGGGAAAAATCATGACAATGCGGAGATAACAATCTATGCGAATAATTTGCATGACAAACACGATAATAAATCTTAATTTAGAAGCAAAACTATAAATGGAAATCTTGTCAACAAAGTCGACCAGTGTATTCTTATTCGTATCCCTTTTCTCTGTAAATCTGATAAGCTAGCTCGCATTCACTTTTTAATACAATAGACGGTCAATTATTTTAACGCGATAGACATTGTGTGATTTCAATTCAAGTTTCGAGCATACAGCTGCGATCTAGACGATAAAACACTTTGGTTCGGAAATCAACGGACACGTCAGACTGTGACTAGCGTCTAATCGCCTAAATCTGTCCGAGCAAACCGGCCGAAATAAAAGCCGCTTATGTTTGCCGTCGAATTATCGACGTGCCGCGAACGAGCCAGTCGGCCAAGATATACATATATCGGCCGCTTCTCTCGACGAATCGAGCAACGCTCGGCTACCGGCCCGTGCAAATACACAGTAAAAAATAAAATGTTAATTTTAACATTTTTTGCATGTCCCAGAAAGTCCACTTTAAATTTTAAGTTAAAATAACTCTTATTCATTGTGTTACTTATTGACAAATTAAAAATGTTAAGTAATTGACACAATGTTTTACATTTAGTTTTGTTATTGTGACTTTAAATGTGATGTAAAAATTACATATAAATTATTTAAAAACTACATAAAAGAGTATTTACAATAATTCATAGAAAATGTTAATAGAACATTTTCGTTCGTATAATATGAATAAAAAAATTGATTCATTTTAACATAATTCTTTAGTTATCTAAAATAGTAACATAAATAATATGTTAATATTTTAACACAAAAAATATGTAAGTTTTAACATATACATATATGTAACATATATATATATGTTAAAACTTACATATTTTTTGTGTTAAAATATTAACATATTATTTATGTTACTATTTTAGATAACTAAAGAATTATGTTAAAATGAATCAATTTTTTTATTCATATTATACGAACGAAAATGTTCTATTAACATTTTCTATGAATTATTGTAACTACTCTTTTATGTAGTTTTTAAATAATTTATATGTAATTTTCACATCACATTTAAAGTCACAATAACAAACTAAATGTAAAACATTGTGTCAATTACTTAACATTTTTAATTTGTCAATAAGTAACACAATGAATAAGAGTTATTTTAACTTAAAATTTAAAGTGGACTTTCTGGGACATGCAAAAAATGTTAAAATTAACATTTTATTTTTTACTGTGTACTTTCCCTTAATATTTGGATATTAAAATATATAAATTCAACTTTATGCAAGTATTTTAGAAAAGGATACTATAATAAGAATAAAATATACTTTTATTTTTATTTTTTTATTTTTATATTGCATAAATCTTTACTATACATGTACATACAACCTTATATAATCTTGTACATGTACATACAACTTTATACAACCTTATACATATACAATCTTATATATGTACAGACTTAGATAGCTAAGGACACAAAAAATATTCTGTAATTAACATATTTGTATTTTCTATTTCGTACATCTTGTATGATTTTAAATGTTTTAATTGTAATAAAGAAAAACAAAATATTTATTATCATTTTCTTTTAAAATTATGTACCCTAAATATTTTTTACAAACAGAAAAAGTTTTGTAACTTTGACACACTGCATAAGGTTTTGAATCAAATACAAATAAAGAAACTACCTTAGAAAAATTAGGCAAATGCTCATGAAAAGAAGTACATATAAAATTATTAATTTCAATCTCATTTCCAAATAATTTGACAGAATTTCCAAAACATATTTTTACATCAGATTTTTAAATTTAAGAACTTTGAAATAACATTAAAATATGTGGTACTTCCTATTGCAGTAACATTACATTTCTTAAGAAAAGGAAAAAGTTCAAAAATATTGCAATTGTTCCATTTAAATAGCATATCTTGTTGATGACGGAAAGCAAGAGTTTTGCAAACATTTTTAAAATTTTTTAATTTGTTTGAAAGATCTTTCAAGTAATTATGTTTGCTTTCAAACCTCATAGTCCAAAAATGTCTTGGAGGACCCATTCTTTTAATAACAGTTGGCAAGTGTGTAATCATGTGATGTTTTGGTCTTAAATGAGTATTATATTCAGTTAAAAATAATTTATGATGATTTTCGATTAGATTTTCAAAATCAGTCATAAAAATATTATGAAGTATAGGAGCAAATGCTATTTTGACAATTTCTATTAACAAAAGAATTACTTTCCATTTATTGTAATTTGTGCTATGATCAAGTTTTTTTGTAATATCACTGATTATTAAAGGAAAAAATATTAATAAGCAATAAGTTTGGGCAGCTCTTTGACCTATTAAATGGCCTGCTTTATTAAGATAGATTAGACTAGGTTTATTAGCTCTATTTTGAAGACCGTAATCAAAAGTATTTATTTTATCATTAATTTCTTCTATCGAAGTTAATTTTTCTTGTATTAAAAATTTTAGAAACAATTTAAGTTCAAGTTGGCAAATTCCTTCCAGAAAATCATGCATTATATCAACTGATAAATTTATTCCAAATTTAAAAAATTCTAAATCATTTAAAGCACTGCGTAATTTAATTCCATATACACTATCGTCGTAATGATTAATCGCAAGTTGAATATGATTTTTAAAATTTTCAGGTGTTCTCAAAAGAATATCTTCTTGTTTGCAATTTATTTTAGTAAAATTTTTATGCATGAGACATATTCTACAAAAAAAGTTAGCTTGAAATGATTCAACCATGCCATATAACGTTGCTCCTCCTAAATTGTCATGGCTTAATGTCGCTAAAGTTCCTTTTATTGGATATTCAACTCCTTCAATGTAAAAACCTTCTGTTTCCAAAATTCTTAAATCTTTTACAATTACTTCCAAAACTGAATTTATACCAAAATCTTTTATGTATTTACTATAACACAAAGTTAATAAATGAATATTGTTTAAATTAGAATTGAAATGAGGAGGTAAATTGCATATTACAAAATAAAATCCCCCAATTTTATGAGACAAAGCTTTACTACCTAAGGGATTACAAATTTCAAAGTCGTCAAAAAATATTTCTATTTCAATAGTTAATTTTTCTGAATTATGGAAAAGGTTATTGGTTTTATACATTTCACCATCTACAAGATTATTGTATGTACTACAATTTAAGGTCTTTTTATTGAAGGAATTAAATATTATTTTTTTAAAGGAATTATTTTTAAATAAAAATTTTAAGGTTTCAATAATTGGAACATAAGTAAATGTGCAAGTTAGAGGAACAGTTTTATACATTTTAAATTTTGAATCAAACTTTTGTTTTATGCAAACCCCACAACTTTTTTCTATTGGTTTTACCATACATTTTTCGTACTTTTTTTTACGTTTATGTTTTGTTAAATACCTATCAAAAGAATTAAAAAATGTTGATACAATTTCTCAACAGATAACGTTTGATTCATTTACATTATCCAAAAATTTTTCGAATACAGAATTTATCAGTTGAGATAAACATTGCAATATTTTATCAATCGATGTATCAGGTATGCCAAAAGAATATAAATTTTGTATAAAAAATGAAAAGTTATTATTGATATCTTCCGAAATATCATCAAGAATATTTGTACTTATATCTTCATCTATATTTAAATTCTTATTAATGTTTGTATTCGACTTATTATTATTATTTATATTTAAATTTTCATCAGTATTACAACTATAATTAGGTGGAATTTCTGTCAAATTATTTGAATCATCTACAGTACAAACTTCTTCAACATTTAGTTTACACTTAGCTAAATGCTTTCTAAATCCCGAATAAGTTTTAAATATAAAAGGACAATTTAAAAAACAACATTTTAAATTTAATTGTGAACCTTCATAGAAAGAATGAATTATTCTTAAATGTCGACATAATTCCTTAATTGAATTTCCAACATAAGTACAATTTGTACACATATAAGGCATCTTAAAAATGAATGTCTCAATTAATAAAACCAAAAAGTTCAATTTTAATCAGTATAACTTATTCAGAGTACCTTATAAGTGTACAATTCAATAATAATACAGTTAAAATATAGAAATAAAATTAATTCATGTATCCATTTGGTTTCGTAGAAGTGTATATACTTCTCTTATACGTGGAGTTACGGGACCATTGTTTATTTTATAAAAATATGTTTCTATAAATCTGTAGAAACTTACCAGATTCGAATCGTATTCTGTATGAAAAACGAAATGACTTTTAAACAAAATGTCAAAAGCCTTCACGAAATTTTGCGCATGAAGTAGAATGAACTTGTTGTCTACGTTTAGAAAGTATTGAGCCACAGCTGCTTTGGTTGAACCTACGGCGACTAAACGTGGTTGAATCTTTTCTCTTGACTCTGATTCCCTTGATTCTAAAGGCGTACCGTTCTAGAACAAAACAAAAAAATGTAGCATTATACCAATATGTAATGACTTTTCTGACATAACTAAAATTATAAAGTATATAAAAATATATAAATAATTATTATTTTCTATATACCTTTTTAAATAAAATAATTTTTCCAAAACCGCAGTGGATTTTTCTCTTGCAGCTTTATTTTTTCCTCTAGCTGTTGGAGGAAGAAGTCGACATAGTGCTAAAATAGCTCGTGTATGTTTATCCCAAGCTGAAAAATTTCTCAAATTGATAAATGTTGCTTTTTATACAAATTATTAAATAAAA